AATTCGGACATCGCCGGAAGATATATTCAAGTTTATTAGCTTCGTTATTAATTGGGGACTCCCTCAAAGGAATGAGATTTATATGGGCTATGGGTCAACATGAAAGTGACATGTTGTGGTGTGGGGAGGGGCCATTAGAGGTGTAAGCTACGTCTCTTCTCTATTCGTTTGGCTAGCGCTGCGAGGTGGCGCTCATACCCCGCGACTCAGCGATCCAGCAGCGCGACTGCGATTCGACAGTAGTCTATAGTCTAGCTTCAAGTGGGAAAACAGCTGATATTCAAAAATGCTTTATCATCCAGTTCGAATCAACAAGAAAATGGAATGAAATATTCAGGCAAATCCTACGAGTCGTTGAGATCAAGAAGGAAGAATGCTTGCTCATGTATATACTTGATGTAATTACACTTACTGATAAATGCTTATAATACTATGCAGAAAATGTAATTGTCCAGATTTATCCGTTACTTAGGTTTTCTTCATGTGAAATCCATCTCAGTACTGGGAGTGAGTGATTTCATTGATTTTCCAAATTAAATACTCATTGTACGATTTCCTGAGAGGTGGCATCGTTTCCGTGTACAGGGTGGGCAGGTCTGCAGCTGTAGAAGTATACCATTTTCGCCAAAGTCGGTGGCAAGAAATCTTGAGGGTTGTACTTGCTTCGTCTCTTCCGCTCGCTATTCGATACGCCATACGAACATTTCAGACGCGTTTCTCATCCGCACCCCCTACTGAGAGAGTTCTTGGGTTAGGTTTATTGATACTGTTGAAGCATTCTTTGAGGTGATTCTAGGTGTGGAATCAGAAGATATCTCGCCGATCTTAATCAAACCGCCAAGCGTTATCTCACCGAGATGGCGTGTATGAAGTGGCCGTATGGCGTGTCGAATAGTGGGCGGAGACAGCAGTTGAATATACCTTACACATGATGCCCTCCTGAGTGGCGAAAGTGGTACACTTCTGCGGCTGCAGACCTGTCCACCCTGGACACGGAAAGGATCCCACCTCTCAGGCAATCGTACCATGTTCTCTAGGCAGGTTGCTGCTAACGTCATTGATGGGATGACGGTAGCAGCAACCGCCCGCCCCCACCCATAATGCCCACTGCCTTCAAGTCTCACACGTTCAGTGTTGAGATGGATTAGAGCACGTTCACGCTTTGCGACCAAGCGACTGGACTGCGAAGTATGAACGCGCTCCCAAGCTAACGATGTTTGCTGATTTTGTGACTAAATTCCAAAAAATTCAAGTATCCAGATATCGAAATAAGAGAATAATACTGATCACTAATCACTTAAAATCAGTCTTTCTAATGGATTTCTAGTTTTCACAAGTGTATCTGACTCGTCCGCCATAGTTGATCCGACGTGGCGGCTTTTCACAGACGTCGAATGTTATTTTGAGACATGAAATTTCATTCTCGTAAAGCAGCCATGGTAGGTAATCGTCTCTGAAATGAATATTGATTGATATATAGGATTTTTTGTTATAGATAGCTCTCTCTCTCTTGACCAAATTGTTACAGAATTTTAGCGTTTGAGTGCGCCTTTCTTATTAAAGTGTCACAATAGCAACATATCTACATAAATTATTCAAAATCGTTGTTGTAGAGAAATTTTGTCTGTCAAATGCGGCTTGGTAATGGGTATTTGTGGGCGTGCCACCCTCAAGGGGTGTGATCAGCACTTGGTACTCACTGACCTCCTGGGCTCCCTTGCGCTGCATCCTGGAACTAGAGAATAATCGCATTTTCGCATTTGCAATTTGCCGCCCTCATCCCTCCCCCAGTCCACCGCATCATATACAAAAGCAGTTGTGCTTCTCACATAATCGTCGTAGGCCTGTCCCTATGACGAATTCTCGAAATTACAACTTACTTATGCCAAATATTCTTCCGGTATTCGATATACCATTGACTGAACTTGTCGAATTGACCGTTGTTCACATCCCAAGTGCGGCGTCGCTCTTCGAGTTCTCTGAAGATACAGGGTGATAGTGAAACCCCGGTGATTTTTTTGAGGAAGTGAGGTCATTTATAATGAAAAGATAAATGTTGCTGATAGATATTTCTCTCATTAAGTGAACGTTAAACGTGCGCCAATAAAGCTTTTAACAAAAAAGGCTTTGTAGCTGATTATCCTTACAGTTCCATAATCCTATATGATAGGGAGGGCGTGGCTGCGAACTACACACGAGCATGACGTAAAATGTTTTTTTTGAAAAGCGGATCTTCATTCGAGGCAAATGATGTCATCCTATTTTGTTATCAAAACGATTGAAATGGTCCCAAAACAGCTATGTTCCACCAATAGTACATTGCTGACGCCGCGTCAGAATGCAGCACGCAGCCACGCCCTCTTCATCCTCGGGATACGGAGTATCCATGCACTGGTGCAGTCTCCCCGAACTCCATGAGCTACACAGCTACTTGAAGATAATGAGTCTTTCAAAGAGTTTGATGCCAATCGGAAGCTTCCCGCGTGGTATGTGACAGACAACGTGATTCCGCCGCGCAAGTCTGCAAAGCTGATGCGGCCAAATGCACTATGTTTCTGCAAGTTTTAGATTGGCTAACCGCTAGCCAATGTTTATAGACCAGAATAGCCCTAAATATCTACGACGTCGCTACTCTACATGAAATCTCGTGCTCCAATTGAGAGGATTATACAGATTATGGAGACGCCGCGCCTGTCGCCGCGCGCGACGGAGCGGCACGATTACGATTGTATGACTCCCCAGCTTGCCTTGTCGGCAAATAATAAGAGCAACCGGCAATTTCAGAGATTATAAATGCATTAGACTAACTTGGCCACGGTCTCCTCTATTTGCATCTCCTTAAGTAACCGCTTCCGCTCTATTGCACCAGTAGCGTTGAAATGCCAAACGGATCTTGGCGATGACTGAGCCCTGAAACTAATGTCAATTGGATTGTTTTTAGAGCGAAGTATTCAATTTCTATGGGTTTTTAAGAATAACTCACATAGCCAACTTGTTGCAATGTGGCCAATGCACCCCTATAATCGCCTTTGTCACCTTGTAAGAAATCCATCTCACAATCGCCGTCCGAATCAAAAGCCGTCCAGTCATTGAAGCAGAACTCCTGCATGAATTTTGTGTCTTTGTTGATGTAACATGGGTACGCACCCCAGGCTATCATGTTAGAGGTAGCTGACGTGTCATTGACGTCATATAACAGATTAATGACGTGTTTTAGTGACGTCACTAACGTGTTATGTGACGCCAGTGACACGTCAGCTATCTGAACTGGCAACGATACCGGACACCAGGGTACAGCATCGTGATGTGTGAAATGGTGGTGTCAGTTCAGTACGACCCCTCACCTAAGAAGATCGGTACGGCCCCCGTCCCCACCCCCCGACCATCACCTAGCCAGCGATTTACCACATTCCATTTCAACGCCAAAAATTTTATTGTCGAAGTGGTTTGGGGGTATATAGTACACATGAAACAGAAAGCTAAAATGCACGAAAAGTCAGGCAACACGGAAATTTTCTCTCCAAAGACACACACAGGGACCCCCCACCCACGCTCCAAAGCGGCCATAACGAGCCGTCCCCCATGTGTTTCACACAATCGATGTCCTGTACCCTGACGGGCAGGTCATAAATGATCGTTAAATGAACTTCCAGAAATCACCTTACCTGAAAAATGTGTAGAAACCTGGCCGCCTCGGGCAGTTGATTCCTTTCAGTTGACTTGCGATCGAATCAGGACATTTCCGTCTCACCATGCTCGATTTCAGTCAATGAGTGGCAGACGTCACAGTAGTAACTAAAAATAATATAATTCTCCACATGTATTCGAGAGCTTCCAGCTCTAATGTGAGGAGTTTCACGGGGGATTTATCGGCAATAGTGCTCTATCGCGCGCGAGATATGGATAGTTGTCTCAAGTGCGCTTGAATGAGTCCAGCAGTCTGTGAGCAAGAACCAGAGTTGGCGCCGATTCGCCGAACGGGAAGGGGGGGGGGTATTTTGCACTTTTGGTGTTTCCTTTCGAGGTGTCGACCCAAGTAGACAACATTTCGAGTTCACAGTTTTACCATGATGGCTTGACGAGCTTGCTCGCGGCTCCACAAGTGCAAGGTTATCCAGAGTTAGAAATTTGTAAAGCGGGAAACTGTGAAGCAATAAAAAACAAAAGTACAAAATGTCCCCCCCCCGTCGCCGAACTGTGCCACCAGACTTTAGCGTGCATGAACAAAGGCAAAAGTAAACAAAAAACTCTAGCACCCTCACATCGGTGTCTTTAGCAAGAAGTGTCCCTTACCAGTTATTGCCGTAACCACCACAGCCATTATTTGAAGCGTTTTGACATCTCAAGTTCGAGAAATCCTTGACATTCCACCACTGATACTCAGCCTTGGCAAAAAACGAGTTACCGATCGCGTCCGAATCGTCCTTGACCTGAAATTTGTTACTGCTTTCAATGTGGATGGATTGGAGCTTCTTGGGGTGATGCAGGGTTCCGTTGTGAAAGCGGTCGAGAGAGGCAGTCTAACCAGGAAAGGTCAACAGGTCAGCCCGGCCATATGCAATGAGATGCACATCATTGTACTCATCTTGACACGGTGAACTCGAAACTATCTTCAAAATTTGCGGAACGATTCTCTGAGCGGAGTTATGGAGTTTTTCTTACCGTTTTTCTTCTTCCAGGCGCGCTGGCGCCGAAGCGTTGGCACCTGTAGTGGACTGCAGCGCTCTTCGCCAAAATAGGTGCCGATAATTTGTGTTCAGGGAAAAGTCAAATAACGCCCTGAAGACGTCATTTTATGCGAAATCTGCGTTTTCTGATGCAACTTCGAAAAATGGACCTATGGATAATGGCATGGCTAAACTGATAGGCGCAAAAGGGCCATACTGCGACCTAACACACTGGTGATGACTGGTCTTCGAACTGAAATAACTCTTAAGTCATGTCTTTTCGCAAACAACAGTACCTGGCTTACTTATTTGTGCCGTCTGCATCATTTTTCTGATTACCGGTAGGAATTCCATCCCGAGACCAGTCATCGATGGTAGGTGAGCTCGTAACTGCCGCTTATTACCCATGAAAACCCACATTTTCAAACTTAAGGTCGAAATGTCAGATTGCTAGAAACTTTGTTGTCAGAAGGAATTTGACACCGCTGAACACCGATTATCATTGGTAATTGTATTGCAAAACCCTCGCGACATGTACTACAGGGGGGGGCAAGCACAAGCACTCTTCCAGGCCACAAGAGGTCTACACTTTCGAAAAAAACTGGTCGCAGTTTCCTTACAGGATAGTGCAGTGAGCAAGATTAAGAAAAGCTTTGTCTGTTCTTGGACAATGCAAAGTAACAGACGCCCTGCCGAGAACCGATCCTGCATCGTCCGGGGCCTATCTCGGGCCTAGTAAACCAACTCGCTCATCGCCCTACCGCTCTACTACCACCGTAAGTGGACTCCATACGTATACGTAAGACGCTTCCACGTTTCTCGCATATTAGCTAATGTGAAAGAGCCACGCGGTGGTAGAACCCGCTATAAACTCCGAGTCGTTCCGCAAATTCTGAAGGTAGATTCGAGTTCACCGTCCCAAGACTCGTACAACGGTGTGCACCTCATTGGAAATGGCCGGGCTGACCTGTTGACCTTTCCTGGTAAGGGATGATGGAGACAGGGTACAGCATCGTTGTGTGAAACATACGGGGGGGGGTCGTATTTGTTCGTTGTTGAGAATGAGGGGCGGGGTCGTATGTGGCTTTGAGAGGAGTTTGCCGCGTCAGGAAAAAAATTTCCCGGTCGTTGACTTTTCGTGATTTTTCCCGCTTTGTATATACTACATATATACCCCCTTCCGCTCGAGGAAAAATCTCGGTGAAGAAGTGGAAAATGGGGGAAATTGGTAGGCAGGTGTTGGGGAAGGGAGGGGGGGGTCATACTCACACCACCATTTCACACATCACGATGCTGTACCGTAGATGGAGAGCCGATGGCTTACTGTGAAAGGGAAAGGGTGCAGTTTTCAGCAAGTTTGAGCACTAGGGCACTTACATACTCTTACGACCCCGTCTCCTCCAGCGACCATATACCACCCCTGTGTTGGGTAATTCTAACGCAGGGGTCGTATATGGTCGCTGGAGTGGAAGGGGTCGTGGTTGGTCTTGCAAGAACATTTTCCTATAGTTTGTTTTTAGTTCTACATCTCCTATAGTTGGCGAGGCTACAAGCGTTTCTCCCGATAGACGGTAGTAGCGAAAGAGGAAATTAGGGAGTCGTAATTAAGGGAAATACTCCCTAAAGCGAGGCCCCACCCTGATAAGCGCATGGACTTCAGAAAATCCAATATCACCGTTATACTGATTGAAGGCAGAGGCCGCGTTGGACTTGTGGGCGGGACCAGCCAATACCGGCCACAGCTATAGCTCTTGTGCTTGCCTACAAGAGGTAAATAGGTGAAGCGTCTATAGGTGACAGCAAATGTCTTGTTGACCAGCCGAATTTGCCTCTCAACTTTCAAAGAACAGTATCTTACCCGTAAATTCTTGATCTCAAGTGTGAAACAGCCGGGCAGTCGGACGACGTCTGGTTTGATTCGAATCTGACCGGGATTGATCTCAAGCACTCGTTTGGCACCAGGACGAGCTAGAATAGACGAGTTTGGAAAAACTGCTGCAATATAAGTCTGTTACACTTATTTGCATACTGTGCTCACAAGGAAGCGACTACGGGCGCATTTTTGGCGTTAACCGAGGGATCGGACACGCAGATGCTACAAACTTACTACCATGACGAGTAATTGAAGGCATTTTGCAGCGAAACTGCTAAAGAGGTGTTCAGCTGCGAGGGTTGCGATCACTGCGGATGATAGGGCGTGTCAAGGTGGGACGTCGCCAGCCCTCGCATGCTTACCGCCAGTTGTCGCTTACCTGCTTCAACGACTGGTGGATAATGTGCTGGGAACCTAGACCCACCACTGACACGCCCCATCATCCACAGCAACAAGACTGCACTTAATATGTTTTGGATTTTACAGCATCAAAAAGATCAC